TTATTTCAAGACTAATTTTCATTAGATCATGATGTTAATGATATTACATTTACTTCAAAACTAATCCTTTTCTAAATCTAATTCACAAGACAACACTTAATTAATATCTCCAATACATGTTATTTGTCATATTTAAAAAAAAAAAAAGAAATGGGATAATTCACTTATCAATTTCAATTTTCAACTTACATTCAAGTTTTCTTTTCTAATTTTGCTCTTATTAATAATTACTTCATTTTTATAGAGAACACGTTTCAACTTCTCAACTACTTTCATTAACAAGGTTAAATATAAAATTTTAATTAGTAATAATTGTATTTTTATAAATTTTTGTAATGTTTTCTATAATCATCCTAAGTAAAAGTATCACAAGTACTCCCTCTATTCCACATTATTAGATGTTTTAGTCTCTTGCACACCGATTAAGAAAAGCAATTTATTACTCTTAATTTTAAGGATATGTAAGCTTAAAGTACCATTTTATCCTTTTAAAATTTTCTCACATTATCACTTAAATCACTAGAATAATTAAGAACAATTTAAGAAAGAGGGTAATTCTAGAAAAAGGTAATTAATATGACATTGATATGCCAAAATGTCAATTATTTAGGAACAAAATTTTCTCTCTACAACAACTAATAATGTTGAACAGAAGTAGTAAAATGCACACAAATAAATACTTGTAAATTTGTAATTCACTAATTAAACCATTGGGTTAACAATATATTCTTTTTATATTTTTGGTCAATAAACATACTTAAATTATTTTTTCATAAAAATAATCATAACCTTAATATTAATAAACTTGTTTTGTTTGATCTAACACAACCAAAACCTAGAAAATAAACAAGAAACATTGACTTGTTGAGGACTGTAGTCTATATAATTCTCAAAATTAAAACGGATATTTAAAAGTCCTAATTTAAATTTAAACCCAGGAAATCTCATTCCTCAATTCCCCAAATTACCCCAATAAATAAGGAAAAAATTAATAAAATTCATTGCTTTTAATATAAAACAACTGTTCTATAATTTAGTATAATATTAAAAAATTATTTTATAATCCAATCTAATATCAAAAAATTATTTTACAATTCAATCTAATCGTGTAATACTAAATGGCAAAGGATTTTTTTTTTTTTAATATTTTTAAAAGTTAAAATAGTCGCTTATGTAGGCAGAAGACGACAAATCCGGGCATCGAAATCTATCTTCTTATCCGCATCCTAACAATCCAATGGGGAACAATGTTGAGTTGAAGCTAAGAACATAAGACTGTGACTCACAGCCACCACTCATACCCAATACAGCTGCAAATGGCCTCTGTATTAGGGACTTCTTCAGCGGCATTCTGGCCTTCTCGCTCCCCCCTTTCTCCTTCCTCAAAGCCTGCCATTTCCCAAGTCTCGCTCAGCCTCCCACAAGGTACTGTGTCGATCGAGAGATTTAACTTAAATACCCACTTCAGGGTTACATTCTGTTCTTGCTTCGTATTTATGACATACCCTTTTCGTTTTGAGCTTATATTTCATGATTGCTGAGTTTTTCTTTGTTATGATTGTTAATTTTATTAATAAAGTTAGGATTTTGGGTAATTCTATTTCACCTGAAATTCTATTATTTAGTTATGTTTAAATAGACCCAGATGATTTTTTAGTGCTTTTAGTGTCCTAAGATATCAGGTTTGAAGTGGCTTTAGATGCACAATTTAAGGCTTTGTTACTGATAGTCCTTCCTGGTGGTGCAGGGCAGGGATATGGGAAGAAGTTTGAGGGACGGATTGTAACTCCAGGTTGCAAAGGAAGGTCTCAATTCCATGTTGCAGTCACCAATGTCGCAACTGGAATTAACTCTGTTGAACAGGTATGGTTTTCGCTTTATTTTATTGTCATGCATTCTATTCTCTCATCAAATTTTGATACATTGGAAGATTAGATTTAATATGATCTTGAGATATGTACTCCAGATGTTTGAATTGAGATTAATTTGGTTAGTTAAATGCACCCAAGAAAAAAATTGTTAGTTTTGAAAGCTGTGATTTACATTACTTGAAGCAGGCATAATAATAATAATAATAATAAGATAAAAGAAAACATTTTTCTTCCAGTAGCTCTTGGAGTTCTGTGAATGAAGTTTGTCAGAAGTCCTGTGAATAAATTTTGTGAAATGGTTCCCAGGACGTTGATGTTAAGGAAAGCCAGAGGCCTGTTTATCCATTTGCTGCTATAGTAGGGCAGGATGAGATGAAGTTATGCCTTTTGTTAAATGTGATTGATCCCAAGATTGGGGGTGTCATGATCATGGGTGATAGGGGAACTGGCAAATCCACTACGGTTAGGTCATTGGTTGATTTACTTCCTGAAATCAAAGTAGTTGCTGGTGACCCTTATAATTCAGATCCAGAGGATCCAGAATCAATGGGGATCGAGGTCAGAGAGAGCATTGTGAAAGGGGAGAAACTTCTTATTATGACAACTAAAATCAACATGGTTGATTTACCTTTGGGTGCTACAGAAGATAGGGTTTGTGGAACGATTGACATTGAGAAAGCCCTCACTGAAGGTGTCAAGGCATTTGAACCTGGCCTTCTTGCCAAAGCTAATCGAGGGATTCTTTATGTTGATGAAGTGAACCTTTTGGATGACCATTTAGTGGATGTTCTTTTAGATTCTGCTGCCTCTGGATGGAACACAGTGGAGAGAGAAGGTATTTCAATTTCCCATCCTGCACGTTTTATTTTGATTGGCTCAGGCAATCCTGAGGAAGGGGAGCTGAGACCACAGCTGCTTGATCGATTTGGAATGCACGCACAAGTAGGGACTGTAAGAGATGCAGAACTTAGAGTGAAGATAGTGGAAGAGAGAGCCAGATTTGATGGAAATCCAAAGGAATTCCGAGATTCTTACAAGGCAGAACAAGAGAAGCTCCAAAATCAGATTGCCTCAGCTAGGAGTTCGCTTTCCTCTGTTCAGATTGATTATGATTTAAAGGTGAAAATCTCAAAGGTTTGTGCAGAGTTGAATGTGGATGGGTTGAGAGGAGACATAGTGACTAACAGAGCTGCAAAAGCTCTTGCTGCTCTAAAGGGAAGAGACAAAGTTACTACAGAAGATATTGCGACTGTCATTCCCAACTGCTTGAGGCACCGCCTTCGGAAGGATCCTTTGGAGTCAATTGACTCTGGTTTACTTGTGATTGAGAAATTCTATGAGGTATTTAGCTGAAGGTTGTCTACAACAGTCTTTCCTAGGTAATATTTGTTGCCAAAATTGTTCCCCCTATTTTTTGCTCTTTAATCTTCTCCCAATCTGATTATCATGGCAATTTTGCAACAACAGTTCAATATTCAAAGGAAAGTAGATTTCTCAATGAAGATTTTTCTTTAAGCTGAAAAACATAGGAGATTTCTCAATGAAGTTAGGAAAGCTAAAATGAGGCGTAGATAGACATGCATATTTCTAGACAAACCCTTTCTTTTATTTGCATATATTTCTTGTTTACTATTGATTGATCTATCACAAAAATGGTGATACTTTTTTTGGCCACCAAATGGTATACGTAAGGGAATTGCTCTACCCCATGTGTTTACCGCTTGCAACTGAAATGCTAATTTCTTGTCAGTTTGTTCAGACTAATGAACATAATCAAGATAAAGATGTTTGAATTACAATCCTTTCATGTTGAACGAACTTCATCGTATGAGTAAGAATAGATATCAAAACGATGAAAGTGAAGAGAACACTATGGACCTACAAGTCAGCTGGCTCTCTTAATAGCTACTCCAGAAGTTTGGCCTGCGCTCTAGAAATGCAGGTGGTCGCTGGTAAACAACTGATGCAACCTCGATCAATATCCCTGCTGTTAATGCCCATATCGTATACTTCTCTTTTTCTGCTTCATAGTCAAAGAAATGGAGCAAATACTTGTCTCCTAACCATTCTCTCTCTTCTGCTCTTCGGTTTTCATCCTGTTTCATCAAACATGAGATTAAACAACAAACAAATTTGTCAAAGGCATTTCACTTTCCTCAAAGAATGAAATGCCCAATAGAGATTTAGAACCAGAAGAAAAACCTTGAGGAACATCTCCAAGGGAACATCAAATATTGCTTCAACTTCTGCTGCATTGGGAGTTGGACTAAACGCCTCCTCATCATAAAGAATACCAACCACAGGGACTACCGTCATGCGACGCTGCAAATTGAAAACCAGTTCTAGATTATAACTTATTAAAAGGCTCCATTGAGGTAACATGAATTCAACATTTTGCAATGGTCGTATCTCATCTGCAGGATTAATCAGATACAGACATGCACTGAATCAGCGCTCTCCTCCCCCAACTTCATGAGATGGGTTGGATTTCCCTTCCATAAAGATTGTGGACAAGCAACAAGACCATTTCATCCATTCTTTTTTATCACACAATTAACAAAAACTTGGATAGTTGTTCAATCATCTCTACAGATTTGACTTGAACTACCTATTGCATTATATACATTTTCTTCTTCCCTTGTGAACATTTGCCCCTCATCTCTTAAACCGCTAAAAAAGAACTATTTGGGAATTGAATTTCTTTAAGTGACAATGGCATAATGCAAATTCTGAATGCAGGGAGAAGTGAACAATTGCAGAGCTGATGATCTTACCTTGGTCACAAATGGTTCAAGAACAGCAACAACATCAACGAGAGAAGGGTCTAAGCCAATCTCCTCCTTGGCCTCCCTCAACGCAGTCTCCACATCATCTGCATCACTTTCTTCTCTTTTCCCACCCGGCAATGCTACTTCACCTGAAACCAAATTCACTCCATTGAGATCTTTCAAACACCCAAAATGACAACATCATAACCAAATAGCGGAAGGGGAAGGCATAGTTTTGGTATTACCAGAGTGAGAAGAGAGATTTGAGGAACGTTTGGTGAGTATCACTCGAAGATCGCCGCCATTTCCTTCGAATAGACAGATTAAGACTGCGGCTTTGTCGAGTTTCTGATCTGGGACGTGGGGGCTTGCAGGAGAATCCAAAATTTTTGGAATTTCTGAAATTCCTGAAATTGGTTTATAAAGGCGAAGGCTTTGAGCTAAAAGTTCGAGTCTTTGATATCCCACTCCGGGATTATTGGAATCCATGACGGAATTTGATGATGTCCGATGGCGCTTCCTTTGGATCTGGAACCGGATAAGTGGTGGTAGGTGGGAAGCATTCTGCATTTTCATCTGGTAAAATTTTTAAATCCTTGTTTTTTCTTAAGTGAGAAAAGTCAAAATAAGGTGACTTTCACCATTTTAATGTCACCCTTCATTAATAAATGTCTGGAAAATTTTTTAAAATTTTTTTAAAGTGAAAATAGCACCTCATTTATGGATAAGAGGAATCATCCTTTATTAATGCCGATAAAAAATAAAATAATTATAATATTATATAATATTATAAATTTATAATATAGTTAATTATAT